ATAAACATGCATGTCTAATATCAGTCTTCCTCCAGAAAGACCCAAGCACCAGAAAATCACTCGTCTCCTTCACTGCCAAGTCTCTCCTCATAGGCAGGCGATCGGTAATTATTGAAGCTAATGTATAGACTTAAAAGGGGGGGGGAGCCTAAAGTGCGTGGGGTGCATGTCAAGATCAGCCAGGAGTGGACCGTCATTGAGGCTGGGCATTGGGTAAATAAAGGTTCATAAACCCTTTCCTTGATTTTTGCATACGTTTAAATTTTTCCATAATAAAAAGCTTTTAAAGGAGGGTTGGGGAGGACACAGATACAACCTCAACATAAAACCAAGTGTCCTTCACTCTCCACTCTGTCTGCACCCAGAAGAATCCGGGAGGTGCTCGGATCAACAGCCTAGGAGGTCCATGCACTCCCGGAGCAGAGACTGTATCCTCTAAGCGCGACACTCAACGTCCCCAACAAAATCACCTTTGAAAAACTCCCTAGAACTTTTCAAATTTATTCTGGCAGGCCCGAGCGTCCCTTCCTGGCCCATAAACCCTTCTGCCTCCACAAATTACCCTTCAGCCTCATCCCACGGCGAGGACCTCTGCTTCCTGTCCCAGACCTCTGCGTTGAGCAATCCAGTTATCGAAATAGCTCCTGGGTGGCAGACAGGCGCCTGGGTTCCGACAGCTGCTGGTTCTTTCTCCTGCGCGTCAGACGTAAGCGTGATGCTGCCACTTTCAAGGAGTCAAGGAACACTTTATAGTTCCGTCTTCTCCCTCTTTCCCTTACTTCAATTCACTCCTCAAAGCGAACTGTGTTATCGTCTAGAGTGGGGTTAAGAGTAGCCTGAAGACTATTAAGTTTGGGCTAACCAGTTCCTTGGCGGAGGGCTGTGCATTGTGGGATGTGCAGAATCACTCCCAGTCTCTACCCAACGAGACGCCAGTCGCACGGGCCCCAACCAACAATACCTCCAAACACTGCCCCTGTTTCAGAAGCGCTGGCCTGCAAGATACTGAAAAACCAAGACCAATATTGTCCAAAGGAGATTGTACAATTTATTGCCACAGACATGATTAGACGGCATATTTCAACCTGTAAATTTATAAATATGAATATTTGAGAAATGTTGCGTCCTAAACCAGAAATATATAGAAAACAAGAGAAAAGTGAACTTACAACTATGTTTTCTGCCTTTGTAGTTTCCTGGGTAAGTCTTATGTATTTCCTCCAAATTGTCCTGTTTTCCTGTCAGTGGGCTATTCAGCTCCAGCCGCCACCCACATGCCACACAACAAGCACTGGCAGGAGAGCCTTCCAACAGCTTTCTGGGCACTCCCCGGGCTTCATACTGGCTCTTCGGTGTTTATTTAATCGGTGTCGCTGGAGAACAGAATCCCCCAAACGATTTTTCAACAAAATCGGGGGGGAGGGGGAGGGAAAGGGGGGAGAACATCGCCAAAGTGTCCTCCTGACACAACTTCAAATACACAGGATCCCACGGTGACCACGGAGCTCGACACCAAGCCCAAGGAGCCAGTGTAAGAGGCTGCTACACCCAAGGGAAAATGCTGTTCTATTTTTTCATTAGGCAAAGGGAGTTTCCCGCTGTACTGAAATGATCCACGCCCTCCTTGAGAAGAAGGAAAGTCTGTCCTCTCTTCTGCAGAGGCCTTACATTAGCCACAGTATCTTATCGGCTCTGGGGTATATACATGCATACTGTCTCTCCTCCCCACCCTGCCAGGCCCTCAGCTCCGCTCAGCGGTGCTCCCAACATCCCTTCACCCCAGGGAGATGCTGGCTTGTCTCTCCTCTCTGATGCTCGCGCACTGGGTCCATTCCTTCCTCTGTAATCACATGCTACCACCTGTCTCAGTCTGGGTCACCTCAATTCTAGATTCTGGCCAAGGCCTCCTAGCTGGTCTCCCTGGCTTAGTGTTTCCCCTTCAATCCAGGTTTCCTATCCATGGTGATCTCTCAAGAGGAAAAGCCAGGGGGCCCAGAATTTCCCTGCCGTTTCCAATTCCTTATCCCCAGGCGCAATCCCAGTTTCTTTGGGGCACGATTGATGAAGCACACCAAACGTCTGGTTCAGGAGGCGTCCCAGTAAGAGGAGGTTGAGCACTGAGAGGGACAGACATGCACACCTGAGGGATTTATCCACTGGAGAGACGGTGGAGGGAGGAGAGAGGAGGAGAGTGCTAAACCCAATGACCTTAAAGTTTCCTTTCAACCCTGACTTCCCAGGATTCTGGGAACTCCTTCCTGGGTCTTGCTGTTATCTGACCCGTGGCTTCTGCAAAGTGATGCCAGATGGTCCCCCAAAAAAGCTCCTCATGTAGTTCTGCACATGGTTACCCCACTCTCTAGGATGGTTTTGTTGTTGTTATTGCTGTTGTTGTTGTTGTTTAATTACAAAAGGAGCAGTGCTGATGTTAACAGAATAAAAACAATACTGAAGTGTTTAAGATGAGGTCTCTCAACCATTGCACTCCCATAGTTGCCACTGGCAGCGTAGGGTGCATGGCTTCTGGGCCTTCTCCATGACGCCTGCACAAGACCACGTGGGCACACCCCTCACTCACGTGACACCCGATCTTATCCTGTACCTTAGGGAGGAGGACATTTAATTCTGACATGCATTGGCTCATCTCTGCAGCTCCCCAGGAGGCGAAGGCCAGTTAGTTCATCTGCTGCAATTGCTGTTATTCCACCAACCAGGAAATAGAAGGCGAGGGAGATCAGGTATCTCGTTCAAAATCACAGATTAGCTGTTGGCAGAGTTAAGACATAACAAAAGCTCCTAACCCAGGGCTTGTTATTACACTGTGAAGTGCTCTCCTCTTCCCCACAGTGCAGATGCAGTGGTGCACAGGCAGCACAGAAATAAAATACCTGTCGAAAGAATCATCTGCAGAGGCAGGATAGCACAGTGGTTAAGGCCTTTGACTCAACTGAGGCTGCCTCAGCTAGAGTCTCACTGTCATTTACTTCACTGTGCAACTTGAGTCAAGCAACGGGCCTCAGTTCCATCATCTGAAACGTGGGGTAATTCTAACAACCTTCCTTAAAGGGTTGTTAGGAAAATTAGTATCTGTAAAACACCAAAAACAGTGTCTGGTACATGTGCTAATAAAATCACCATCATAGCTCTAATATAAGCCCCCAAATACAATAAATAGTATCCTTCTTAAAATTTAGGCTAGGCTGACAAATCAAATTAAATCATGTTAGCTCTTATCCCTGCCCAAAAAGAAGTCAGCATGTGGGGAAATCTCTGAGAGTATTAGTCCAAAAACATTTATGTGACTCTGTGGCTGAAACCATCACTCCCAGGGAGGGATGACCTCATACTGACCTCATGGATCAAAAGTATTATAACACCTACTACACCAAAGAATAAAAAAAAAAAAAAAAAAAAAAAAAAAAAAAAAAAAAAAAAAAAAAAAAAAAAAAAAAAACCTTAACAGTCTCTAGTAATAATTATCTAAGGAAAGTGGGCTGCAAATCTGTTGGAGAATTGTTTTTACCATGATAATATTTCCAGCAAATAGCTGCTTCTAATACTAAAAGTACTGGTATTGCAGAACGGGCACGCTAATAGAGAGATTATTATAGAAATACTATTAAAATGAATTAGATGTTATTAAAGATTCAGCACTACAACAGAGCTTGATGGCAAGAGAGTTGTATTGCTTTACGGGCAGATAAAAATGCTAATGAAGCCCACTCTGAAAGGACGTTCCCAGGCAGTTCTGCAAACCGCAGGTAGCGAGGGAGGGGCCTGTGGGCTACATGAGGAACCCGGAATGCCTTCCCAGTTGGATAGTCCTACCAGGAAGATGGGGAGAGAACAGGAAGAGGCAAGGTTTGCTGCACAGAATGGGTAACCTAGGAAAGCAGACAAGTATCCAAAGTTATTTGAACCTCCAGGTGTTCCAGGTGTGTGTTCTTTTTCCTTGTCTACTTCGCCAGAAATACTTCTAATTCCTCCTTTGCTTAAGTGGGGGAAGAACCTACCATAGACTGGCGACCCTCAATAAGCAGCATTAGCAGAAATAGAAAAGCTTGTGACCATAGCCTCCCCAGGCAATGAGAAGACACCTAAGAGCTCTCCCGGCTGCACCTCGGCCAAAAGCGCCTCCCTCCTCCGCACCCAGCCTAAGGCTTTCGGCGGTTCTTTAAAGAGTTGCTAGACTAAAAGGCATTAGCTATGCGTTCCAGGATCTATTTTGCTTTCTCACCTTGTTAATAACCAATTAGGGACGGCAAAGCACCTCACCAATGTAAGTGTCAGGGAAACGCTAAGTGAATTCGCCTCACCCGGTCCAAATGTCACCGCTACATTACGGAAGGAGGGAGCGCGGGAGGCTGCGATGCCCCCCGGATTGGACTGCTGCAGCCCAGGGGCGAGGGCGGGAGACCCGCGTGCCCGCAGCAGCCTCCGGCCCGGAGCTGGGCTCTGGGCAGGACTTCTGGAGAGGAAGCCTGGGCCAGGGCCACCCGGGGGCAAAGGCAACGCTGCTCTGCTCGCCTAGGCGCATCCTCGCGGCTCAGCCTCCGTCTCCTCGCATCTCTCGGATGTCAACAATCCGGGACCACAAAGTGAAACTTTCCCCGCCCGCCGCCGCCGTGCTGGGTCTCTGCCCTGTGCCTGGGAGGGCGTCTCGGGGACAGGTGTGGGGTGGAGGCTCGGGGAGGTACCCCCTGCCCCTAGACCCTGGGGTTGTGTAATCGGCGCGGGATGGGGAGGCCTGGGACCAGCCCCACGAGGGGGATGCGGAGGCTCGGCCCGGGGACCCTGGAGAAAGGCGCGGCGGCGCTGGGAGGTGGTGGGTGGGGGTGGGGATGGGGGGAGGGGGATGGGAAGCCTGTCGTCCCGCCCCCCGGGACCGCCCCCGGGCGGCCAGGGGAGCCGCGGGGCTGACACGGTCCGGAGGGGGCGCCAGCGCGCGACGGGAAGATGCCGAGGAGGACGAGAGGTCTGGGCGGCGCGGCCAGCCTTACCTGCGCGCCGGGCCCGCACGACGGAAGGCGGCTCGGGATGCTCGGGCGGCGGGCAGCGATTGGCAGCGCCGGCGGTCACCGGGCCACCGCAGGTGAGGAGCAGCGGCTGCGGCGGCGGCGGCAGCGGCAGCGGCGGCCGCGGGGACTGACAGCCCGAGGCTCCGCCTCCGAGCCCCGGGCCCCGCCCCCTCCGCGGCCGCCGCGCGACTGGCCCCGCCTCCTCCGCCCACGGCCGGGGTCAAGCTGGGTCCACCGGTCTGGCGGGCGGGGGAGCTCGCCTCCGATTGGCCCTAGTGACGCGAGCCCCGCCCACTCCCCCGCCCACTCTCTGGCCGGGGCGTGGCGCGTGCGCGGTGGCCGCCACGGGGAACGTAGGAAGCTGAGTGCTCGCGTTCTCGGCGTCCGACCGGCCAGTGTACATCTTCCTTCTTCATCCTGGATGAACCTGCAGGAGAAAACAAAGTCGGTTCTAAAGGGCCAGGCTCTAACCAGAGGGGACCCCAAAGCTATGAACTGCAACAGGCATGGACGCATCTGCAAAGGGCTTAAGCCAGGGTGTTTTATCCACGCACTGGATTCACTCCCTGGTCAGCAAGAGTGATGCATGCGGAAAGGGTCTAGTAGCTGTGAAATGAGGCCAGGGCGTCACTCACCTGAAGAAAGTGGCATCACTTCTCCAGCCCCTACCACTTCCTCCCCTGACCTTCTCTGTGTCTCCCTCCTCTTCACGGTACCTTCAGCTTGTAAACCAGATCAAGTCCCTCCAAACGGAGACCCAGCAATCCCACTCCTAGGAATATGTTTATTCAAGGGAATTAGAAACACATTTCTACACCAAAAACTTGTACACAACTGTTCATAGCATATTCATAATGACCAAAAAAATTGAAACAATTGGAATGTTCATCATTTAATGAATGGATAAACGAATCATGGTTTATCCATACCATGGAATTCTATGGTCAATTTAAAAAAATGAATTAAGTGCATATTATAATATGGATGAATGTTGAAAACTAAGTGAAAGAAGTCAGATACAAAAGATCACAGTGTATCCTGCCGTTAATATGAAGTGTCAGAGGAGACAAATTTAAAGGCAAAAAGATTGGCGATTGCCAGGGGAAGGAAAATGGTGAGTGACTGCAAATGGTTGTGGGGTTTCTTTTTTGGGAGGGATGGTGGAGGGATGAAAATATTCTGAAGTTAGATAGGAGTGATAAGTGCACAATTTTATTAATATATTAAAAGTCACTAAATAATATACTTTAAAGAGTGAAGTTCATGGTATGTGAATTATATCTCTTTTTTTTTAAAGTCTGTCAAAAATAAAAAGCCAAACTACTTTGACATTGTACCATTTTCAGCTACTATGCAGTTTCCAAGCCCTTCTAATCCAAGATTCTTATATGGTTGGCCTACACATTTGTACCCATACTTCGTCATCTCCCATTTATATATTAGTTTCATAGAATATGGCTGTGCTCACAACAAAACCTAAATCTGCTCTCTCCTTGAATCCTGTGGATTTCTATGACCCTGAACAGTCTTTATTCTTCTATGACCCTGAACATTATTAACCTTACATGGCCATTAGATGGTTATTTATTTATTTAAATATATTTTTAGTGATTTCAGAGAGGGAGAGAGAGATAGAAATAATCAATAATGAGAACCATTGATCAACTGCCTTCTGCATGTCCCAAACTGGGGATAAAGCCTGCAACAAGGGCATGTGCCCTGACCTGGAATTGAACCGTGACCTCCTGGTTCATAGGTCTATGCTTAACCACTGAGCCATGCTAGTCAGGCCATTAGATGATCATTTAAGAAAACTGGGTTTAAAACCCGGTCATAACCAACTGCTTGACCTTGGGTAAGTCATTGCCCTTGGACACTTGTAGTCAGCCTCTCCAGTATCCATTCCTTCATTGTCCCACCATCAGGACACCAGCATTTCTTTGAAAAACCACTTTTCTCTCTTCTAACCCATGTGGTCTTGTATAACCTGATCCCAACTCCAGGACCTGGGCCTGATGGGTTTAAAGCAATCATTCTATCCCATGTCTTTGGTTACAGAAATTAGTTCAAAGGGTCCATACCTGAATGCATGAAATCCAATCAAGGCAATGAGATCTGAGAAAACATTTGCAAAGGATTCTGACAAAAAATAAAAATGAAAAAGATTCATCTCGCTGTCATAACTCCAATCAATGAAGGTCTAGAATTAGTGCAGCCACATGTGACCACAAGGGTAGAGACTAGATTGCCAGGCTGTGTATGAATCCTGAGTAAGGGAAAATGGAAAATAAACAGAATTTTAGTTACATTGTTGAGCAGAGAGCAGCTAGATCAAGCTACATCTGAAGCTGTTACTTCATATTTTGCAGTTATATGAGCTAACAAATTCCTTTCATTGCTATAGTTTAGCATATTGTCTATAGCATAAGTACTCTTAACAATAATACTTAACAACCTCTCTGGGTGTCCACTTTCTCATAAAAATAAAAATAAAGGTAATACAATATGAATAATTTCTAAGAATTCTGCTAGCTCTCACATCCTGTCAGTCTCTGAAGATTAAATATACTCATAAAAATGTAAGTGCATTATAATTTACTAGTAAGCACTAAAGAAAATAAGACTCTAGTTTAACCTAACAAAAGATAGCTGAGATTGGAAATGCAAACAGAAATCCTTAATCTTTGGCCTATACCAGGATCTCCACCCTCTCCCCCTATATTTCAGCCACTTGTTCTTATACTCTGAGTTGGGGAGGGGTGCTCTGAAAGGAATGGCTTTTTAAAAATATGTTTTTATTGATTTTAAACATATTTTTATTTTAGAGAGGAAGGGAGAGGGAGAGAGAAAGATCAGTAATGAGAGAGAATCATTGATCAGCTGCCTCCTGCACGCCCCCTATTAGGGATCAAGCCCACAACCCAGGCATGTGCCCTGACCGGAATCAAACCATGACCTCCTGTGCCATAGGTCAACACTCAACCATTGAGCCATGCCAGAGATGGCCCTGCTTTAGGATTCTGATTAGTAGACCCTTGATGGCCTTACACCCCATGTTTAGATTCTGCCTCTCCTACCCAAACTCTTTGACCTGAGCACTCCCCTGTGCCTTCTCTTTCTCCCCAATCTGACTCTGAATCGTATCCTTAACTTGCCAGCATCCCTTCCTGTCTGCATTTCCAGCACTGCCCATCTTCCATCAGTTGGAAGTGGTGATAGATTAGCCAGCAACTCCAGAGCACAGATTTGTTTATCTATAGCAACAGGGCCTAGAGGAAGGAGACAGAGATGCTTATTTAGTGGAGAGTCACTTAATAAAAGAGATTAAGCACCTTAGAAGCCTGAAGGGTTGAGCAAATTGTTTGTTACACGGTACTAGCAATTATGTATGAAAGGTTTCACATACTAGGATATGTAGCCCATTTTAAATAATCCATTTGGACATGTAATTGTAATCAACATTCTAATGTGAAAAGGCATTGCCTGGGTCTCCCTGCCCGGTATTGCATTGGGACACTGGAGCCGTACTGGGAGGCACTGGTACGTTGGGAACCTCAGGAAGAGGTGGTATGGAAAGAATCTGGGCTGCTTTCCTGGAAATGGAAATGAAGAGCGTGCTGCTGATTAAATTCACTCTTGGTTCTGGCTTTGCAAGATTCATGGAAGAAGACAGCTCTTCAGCACTGTTTTGATTAATTCACTTAGCATTTTATGACCAGGTCATATTTGCCTACAGAAATGTTCCTATAGGAGGCAATGTTCCTATTCTTCTGGACTTGAGGCGATGGGGAGGAAATGGACATAGCCCTGTCAGTGACAGCAGGAAACAGAGCTTGCTCTATACAGCTCACAGCAAGAGGCCTCGATGGAAGGACGACTTGCAGAGGTGTGGGTGGGCACCAAGCAGAAAACCATTGCCACCCCTAAGAAGGAAGAGCCAAGCAGAGGGCACAGGGGAGTGAACCGTGGAGGAGGGGCCCCTGGCCGTGGCTGCAGCCAGGCCGAGAGTCTACAGGAGGAATGGCTTCAGCACGAGGCGGTGGGAAAGCACCTGGCCTCTCCTGCCTCCCTGCCATCCTCCAGTCTCCTGCGCTGGCTGACCAGAACCCAAAACCCAAGAGCAACAGAGTCCAGATAATGCAATTGATGGGGATCAGCCTCCCAGGAATGAATAAAGTAGAGAATGGAGAATGGGTGTGGCAGCATAAACAAAGAATAATCGCTTCGCTACACCCCATTTGCCATCCAGATTCTATTTTTGCCCTTCACTTGAATGATGAAAATCTCAGCCCAACACAAGGAGACACAATTGTCATTAGCCACTGGATTATTACTGGTGACATCATTTTTTTAAAATATATTTTATTGACTTTTTACAGAGAGGAAGAGAGAGGGATAGAGAGTTAGAAACATTGATGAGAGAGAATCATCGATCAGCTGCCTCTTGCACACCTCCTACTGGGGATGTGCCCGCAACCAAGGTACATGCCCTTGACCAGAATCGAACCCGGGACCTTTCAGTCCGCAGGCCGACACTCTATCCACTGAGCCAAACTGGCTTTGGCATGGTGACATCATTTTAAGTATCATCCCATGTGGCATCTAAATGTTGAGGTTAGCCATACTCTACTTATACAGTAGTAGGAGAAAGGGGGTTAGGATAACGAATCATCATAAAATAGATTTGGCTGCTATCAATTCCCCTTCTGAATCCTGTCATGAAGCCAGAGCTGAAATCATGGTTTCCTCCTTTCATTACCCACTCTATGCTCCCCTTACCCTCTACCAGCACCTCAGCTGGAGGGGAGACACATTTTGGTTGTGTCTATTTTGGTTGCCAGCTTTCCACTGAGGTTTATCATTGGAATGAAAGTCCTATAAAGTGGCCAGAGTCCCATATTTCTCAGCCCTATTGCATAGCAGCAACCCAACTTCCCTTTGGTAGTCAGGACGTGATCCCCTTCCCTTCCGGTTGATTCCATGGCACAAGGAGTCCCAAAATGGCCGAGGACAAGCTCTGCTTCCAATTCATCAGAACCATGGCTGAGCTCCTCTTAGGAATCAACACCCAAACCTGCCAAGCCCAAGACCATGGAGTTGGAAACAAAGGTTCTCTTCAGAGGAGTACTAATTGCATGA